ACTCAAATCGAGTGATTCGGATCCATTTTTGGAGATCTCTTCGTCCCTCCGACAGGTCGACATGGAGAGCGCATGCAGCGGCACTTGGACAGTCTATCCGGGACTGGCGAAGACAGCGGATCAGGAGGAGGTGACGAGGCAAGAGGAGCTGCAGAGGATGAGTCACAAGAAAGAGGCATCGCCATGTAGACAGCCTGTGGATGCTCTGAACCATGAATTGCCAGATGATGGAGGCCTACACACGAGAAGGAGAGAGACAAATCTGGTGAGCGCCAGAATATGGCACAAAACCGAGTGTGAGGGAGAGCGTTATGATGCGTCAAAGTACAATAAAATTGTTTGTTTAGTCGTTATTATTACAAAATGATTTGTATATGGGATCTAAATTGGTTGTATTCCGTTTGAGTATAATTCTACACTATTAATAGACATGCTCTCATAAACTGATGAAGGATTGATAGGCGAATTTTCTGACAACTGCCTACTTATACTCAATATAAGTAATATAGCCGAATTTACTAGCATATACGAGTTGGCTCCACCGAGCTCCGATTCCCACTGGCAGAGCTGAGGAGACCTTAGTCGAGGTCGACGACAGTGCAGTACATTGAGATCGTGATGTGGCCTACTCACAACAATATGAGTAAACTCACCTACAAGTCCTTAATCGCATTAAACGACATAGGATGGAAATAACGCTGAATTGTGAAGAGCAGCTGGAATGTCTGTCCTATCTTTTTGAAAGGGGAGTGCAAGGGATTCGTAAATTAGCCTCACCCGATACCGAAGCAGGGCCGCCTTGGACTTGCGAAGAAGACCTCGGCTCATCGTTCTGCAATCTTGCTCAATCTGTGTCTAGCTTTTGTTGGACAAAATTCTACAATTTCGCCAATTTAACACAGCTTCGCATGATTTGGTTGGCTACTACACGCTTACTTAACATAGTTGCGGTTGAGTCAAGATGGGGCACGAAAAGTATATGGTTTTGGTCATAACTGTTTCCTTGACACTGCTAAAGT